CAGAAACTCCAACAGGAGAACTCAAAAAAAAAAAAAAAAACCCTCTTTTCCACCCTGGGGAACTAAATAGGGCTCTTTTTGATACTGATACTCGAGATCAACACCCCCAGCTTCCCCGTCCCCACTCCGCATTAACGAACAATTATCGAACAAAGGCCTAGCAAAGGAAAGCGAGCCAACCTTCCCTTAGCTGGCTGACCAGAATTTCTTTCCGACAGAAGCGAAAAGGATCAGCCCCATCCAGCCTTGAGGCTCAACAGGGGCACTGCTCAGGACAAGGCACAGTCCCTGTGACTAGCCCAGAGGGCCTGGTAGCTGGGGAGGCTGCGGGTGGTAAAACGCAGGTAGTTTTCATCATAAGGGAAACAGCGCCCTCTGCTGGCAGTGTCCGGGAGAGTGGAATTCACCGGGCTTCTGGTACTGTCCTCTCTCCCTCCTCCCACACGAAAGTCTTAGTCTGTGGTGGCAATACCGAACACCTGTGGAGAGCGCATGCTTGCCCTCTGAAGGAATAACGGGGTGTGGAAGGGAGATGAACTGGGGCAGGAAGGAGACGGAGGCAAAATGGAAGGACGAGCGGAGTAGGTGTGGCCCAATTCTGTGAGCTCTCTATCTGGTAGAGACAAGCACAGAAGCCTTATATTTCCCCATGGGGGAAAAAAAACAGCAAAAAACCAAAATGCAGTTTAACCGGACAGTGGCAGACGCTGCTTCCCATGTCCATCCCGCGTTGGGAGTGCTTTGTCTGAAATACACCATTTCTACTGGCCTAATGGACGACATTAAATGTGTTTCTAAGAATATCACAATGGGAGAATGTAATGCGGACTGTACAGGGCAAAAGGTAGAAATAAGTAGATTCCATCTAGACGTGAGCTGCCCCGCTCAGGCCGAAAACCTTGGAGCGGAGGCCCCGCCCACCGCGTTCAAAGCAGAGAGGCAAAGCATAATGTTAGAACCCACAACTGCCTCAGCAGGAGCCTCATATGTTTTTTTATAAAAAGACACAATGTGAGCATTGTTCTGTGTTCAATAGCGCGACTGTTATAACTAATGCTTTTGGTATGAATACGACCATTTAAAATTCCCAACCAGTTGCACTTAGTGACAATATGCGTGACTTAGTGACTAAGAAAGCAAGCCCAGAAGCAGAGATTTCTCACTTTGGGGTCAGTTGGCTTTAGATACACATACACATGCCTATTAATGTGCCCAACTTCCAAAAATACACTGAACATTTGCATGAACAATGTTCTTGTCCCTGCCCTTGCAGCTACAAATAGTAAGACAGATTTTCACATGTATATTTGAGAACCTAACATTGATTCTGTGTCCACAGGGCTGATACACAAATAGAGGGAAGTGTGTATCCTGTGTTTCATACCACTCTAGCCCTTAACTTTCCACTCCCAACCCCAGCCCACCCCCAAATCGGCATCTGTAGAACACGAGCAAAGCTGCCCCTGCAGGTCTGCAGCCTCCTTGCATAATAGGTCTCCAGGTCCCCCATGACTCAGCTTCTACCCTCCAACTGCCCTCCTCAACTCTGGTTGATCCAGTGGGGTCTCCAAAGAAGAGATGGATAAATTCAACTTTGATAACATAATTGGAAGAGGAAGAAAGTTCTTTCCGGGTCTTGGAATGAATGTTCTCATATGTCCAAGTTTACTCGACATTCATCAGGGGTTTTATGCAGCAAAGCGGCTGAACCCATTTGGGGAAATTCCATATCCCTTGAGTCTTGAAGGGGGGCAGTACCCCACTTCCACTACTGAGGATGGGGGCTTTGTCCCTGGCAAGGAGACCTGGACCAATCAGGCCTACGCTTTTGTGGTAATGATGCAGAACAATTAGAGATAACTGGTTAGCAGCATCCCCCTGGTCCCTCCTGTTTTCAAGCCTGTTTCTTCTGTCTTCCTAGCCATCCCCAGACCTGAGTGATGTCCTCCAACAAATCTCTCTTCTACTCTAGTCAGGCAGGGTTGGTGTCTGTAGTTCTCAAACCAGATCCCTTCTCCAAGCCATGCTTCAGGTGATATGCACACTTCTCACATCAATTTTTTTTAATTGAGGGGGGAAATGGCCATTTTACATCATAAGTTGAAATTCTCCTCTGATTTGTCTCCTCTCCCTCCACCAACCCTGACCGAGCCTCTTTCTCATCACAAAAAGGGGAAATACTGCAGTATTTTAAACCCGTAAGTTAATTACAAAATAATCCACAGTACTTGGGTAAGGCACATAAGAACTTGTAAGACGCATCCTGGGAAGGCCGGACCTGGATCTTCCCCACTTCGAGAGAAAAGCACCGAATAAACCAGCGACACCCCGAATCTCGTGGGTGAGAAGCAGGGGCAATGCTCCCCGTCCCCACAGCCTGTAACTAGATGAGGAAAGGAGGGAAGGGCAGTTTATTCGGAGGACAGGTCCCTGGGGGCCAGGCTGGCCTGGGAGGCGGGGGATGACCGCCAAGGTCTCCCCTGACGGCGTCCAGCTGGTCCTGAAGAAGGCGGACCCGCTCGTCTAGGCTGCGCTGCTGGGCCAGGACGGCGGCCTTGCCGGCCAGCAGGGCACAGTAGGCGCGCAGCTCCTCGGCGGGCAGTGCGCGCACCAGCACCTCCCGCAGGGCCCGCTCGCGCCGCGCCACGTGCTGCTTCAGCTCCTTGGCGTCTTCCTGCTGCCGCTGCAGGAGCCCGAGGCGCTGCAGCAGAGAGGCCTGGAGCCGCAGTGGGAGGGCGCCGTGAGCGGGGCGAGGGTGCCGCCGCCCCCGGGATGGTTAAGACCGAGCCGCAGGCCCCGCCCCGCCCCGCTCTCCCCAAGCCTGAAGCCATTACCTGCTCGTCAGGGTCGCCGTCTGCGCCCGCCCGGGCCAGGGCGCGGCGCACGCGGGCCAGGCGACTGCCCAGCAGCAGCAGGAGGCCAAGCACTCGCTCTAGGTCGACCATGAACCGGCTGAAGCGCTCGAGCACGTGGGGTGCACAGGCCTGGCCCACCGCAGCCTCCAAAGCAGCCCCGCGCCTGGCCCAGGCTTGGGCCGCCTCCTGCAGTCGCTCCTGCTCCTCTTGAAGGTCCCGGAGCATCTTTTGGAGGAGGTCGGCCAGCTCCACCTGCCGGCAGGGCGTGGGTACTTAAGACTGGAGCCAGGCCCCTGACTTCTCAGCCCAGACTCTTGCCACACCCAGCCTCCTTCAACCCCTCCACACCCACTTTCTTGGCTTGGATGCTGTTATTTGGCTCAGGGAGACCCTGGCCACATGGCTGGTCTGGCACAGCGTGGGTGTTAAGGTTTCCAGGCTTTGTCTCCTCCTGAGAAGTTGGCAGGCCCTGGGTGGAGTTAAGTAGATAGGACCTGGGGACAAAACCAGAGCTCCTGGATTGTACTGCCCCAGATTGCAGGGGCTTAGAATCCCCTGATTCCCCGGTGCCCCTCACTCACCCTGGCTTAGAAGTACCAGCAGCCTCCTCTCCATCCTCTCCACAGGCTGGCCTCATTGCAGCCCAGACCTCAGCTAAAGGAATCAGCCCATCCAGCAGGCCCAGAGATGGCTCTGGGCTGGGATAGGAGGTTAGAGTGTCGCTCAGAGAGGGATCCAATCTGGCCAGCTCCTGAACCAGCTCCTCGAGGTGTGGACCAGGCCATGTTGGCCTGGAATAAGGCTGGCCAGTGGCCCAAGCCAGGGTAGTGTGGTCAGGAGGCCCTGAGGTGTCATTGCCTGAAGGTCCCAGGGTATCAACTGGGAGAGGTTTGAGGGGGTCAGTCTCTGCAGCTGTTGGGGAGTCAGTGGTCAGCAGTTCAGTAGGGTCAATGGTTGGGATGTCACCATTTGCAGTGTTAGGGGGGCTACAGCATGTAGGTCTGGAGACACCCACAGAACCATTTACCCCCTGCCAGCAGTCATCTGTCCCTGCAGTCTCTGGGCACTCATGGAGGGGCTGCTGTGGCAGGATTATAGTCTGGTCAGCCCTTTGGCCCAAGCCAGCCCTGTACTTCTGGTTAGAGGCATGGACACTGGAAGCGAAAGAGACACTGAATCAGAAAAAGCTCTGGCCAAAGATAACTGGCCAAGGGCCACCTGTCCCCACCCTCACCCCCTGGCTCCCAGGCTCCAGCTAGGAGAGTTCTCTGCTCCTCCAGCATTTTGTAGATATGTGTAGAAAGGGAGTGTCTCACTCTGCTTGAAAGTCTGAGGAAATTCACCTGGTTGGGAGCCCTGGGGAACCATGGGAGTCTGGAGGTGACCTCATTCTGACCATTGGGGCTTCTTCCAGGAAAACTTCATCATCAGGAAGGGATGGGAGCCGGGCAGACACAATGTAGATCCCTGAGGCCCTCTGCTCACAGTCAGAGGGACTGCTCTGGAGTCCCTCTGCAGGACACACCACTGCAGCTTCCTTCAGAGTCGGGAACCTGGAGGCAGGGACCTCACACTGACCACAGTGACCAGGAAGGAAGATCCTGGTTCTGCACCAGGGAGAGAGTAAGGTGTAGGGGTGGGGGAATTAGGGGATGTGATTTGGAAAAGACAGAAGGCTCAAACTGAGGGTAGGTGCAAGGCCCTCTTCTTAAACAAGAGCTATGAAAGCTGCCTTCCCCCAACTTTCAGTCCCCAAAGTGGTTCATCTCTCTCACCTGGGAAGTCTGGTCCGAAACGATGGTCTAGGGGTTTCTGCTCCTTGGGGAACAGCCTGGAAGGCAAGCAGTTGGATGAAATGTTGCTTAAGTTTTCAGTCTTACAGATGCCCCCACCCCAGGCTTGCAGCCCCTATACCTGGGCAGTGGACTTGACCCCTCCTGGACTTCCCCAGGGAGTCAAGACTTCGCCAGAAGCGCTACGACCCCGCCTGGCTGACCTGTAGGCGTTGTCGAACTTCAAGGACCAGGGTTTCAGGTCCTCTATGCCTCGGGGCTTGGTCACAGGCAGCCATCTGATCTGGTGACCTTCAAACTCTGCCAGCGTCCGCTGCTGCCATTCCTGGAGCTCGGGCCTGGCGAGGCCAGAGCTGGAGCAGACCTCTCCGGAGCATTGCTCCGCCAACCCACCGCCCCGACCCACGCGATCCAGCTTCCCTGGCTCCGAGAAGCACCACTTCCGCTGCTGACCGGCTAAACGTCCCTGGCCCGCGGTTCCCGGCACGGGAGCCCCGGGGCGCGCCGGCTCCACTTCCCCGCCCGGGTGGCTGAGCGAGGCGGAGCGCGAATGCGCGGCGGGGGGCCGGACGGGGGCCGCGGGCCGCAGGCGGGCGGGCAGGCTCATGCGGAGCTCCTTGCGCTGGAAGGATGTCTCCCGGAGCACTCGCCGCTGCGCGCCCTGCAGCCGCTGGCGGTAGGCCGCCCGCGAGGCCGGCGGGCTGGGCGGCTCGGCAGCCCGCGCCGCGGCCTCCGCCTCGGCCGCCAGTGCGTACAGCAGCGGGGTGGCCTGCCGGCTGAGCGGCCCCGGGGTCCCCTGGACCTCGGGGGGACGCGGCCCACTGCGCGCGGCGGCCGCGGGCGGGGGCTGCGGGGAGGTGCGAGGGCCGCCCCACACCACGCGCACGTAGTCCCAGTCCAGGTAAGGAAGCTGGTGGGACCCCGGCGACGGCGTGCGAGGCTCGGCACCGCCGGAGGCAGCGGAGAAAGAGCTGTAGGCCGAGTCGGCGCGCGCGGACAGCCGCCGCACGTCCAGGCTGCGAGTGGACGAGGCTGGGGAGGCGCGGTCACCTCCGGGACCCAGGGCCTCCATGGCTGCACGGACGAGCGCGGAGGCTGGCTAGCTCCGAGGGGCCTGGAAGAGAATAGACGGCATGGTGGGTGAGGAGCTCCGGGTAAGGGTGCTGGCCTCTCCGACACGGACAGCCACGTGCTTACACATCCTCTCCCTAGTTACAAGATCCTTAGCGCGGACATTGCCCCCGCCCCCAGTAAGGGATAGTAGTAGTGGGACCAGGGGAGCAACTCTGGAGGTTGAGGGCCTTTGCTCAGGGGAAGGAATGGCGACTAGCCCACTCCCTGCTGGGGCTCTCCTGGATGGCAACCCTGGCCTCTACCCTGGCACCTCCTGGAGCACTGAGAATGTACCCTTGCTCTCCACCCCCTCCCCCCAACACTGTCCCACCCAGTTTGCTTCCTGGCCGCTTTGTTAGCTTCTCCATGTGATCTTTCCCTGATAAACAATGGTCAAGAACATTCTGAGATCACAGGGGAGCCAAGGAAGGAGGTGGGACAACCCAGGTCAGGTGGCAGGGGCAGCTTCACCGCCTTTCTCCCGCCGTCTGGGCCAGTTATGTTCCGGGTGCTTTATATACATATTTATCTTGAATCCCACAATTGCCCATCTGCATTTTGCAAACAAGGACACTGAGATTCTGAGGGGGAAATGATTTGCCCACAGGCACGCAGCTGGTCAGAGGCAGAGCCCTGCCTGGAATTTGGGCCTGCCTCCAACTCCACTGCAGCCAGAATCAATTTCCTAGAAGCAAACCCTGCTGAAAGCCAGTTTACCCCTGCCCCTCAGATGACGGAAGCCTCCAACAAAGCCCAGACTACACTGTGGGAAATAGTCCCTTCCACCCCCTCAAAATACTGGCACAATCTAGGATAATATGGTCCCTGCTTGGGAGACCCTGCCTTTTGTCTAAGAATGACAGGCTCACACCCTCTTTGTCCTGCCACTCAGTTCCTCCCACAAGGCTCAACTTAGCAGTCTCCTGATTCTTGGGAATCTCGACAGTGTCCTGAGCTTCCCTCATCACAGCACTCATTACTCTGCATTGACTGCTGGCTTGCTTGTGATTCCCTCTCCCCACTCCTACCCCTGAGCTTCCTGAGGACAGGCCCTGCACTTCTTCAGTCTGTATCCTCAGTGCCCGGCATGTACTCAGTGTCAAGTATTTGTTGAATGACCAGGAAAGAAGCAGCCTCGCAGGAAGTAGACAGTGGGTGGCTTTGGTGGGGAAGGAAGTGGGCTTCTTTGCTTTTGCCCATTCTTAATCTTTTCTAGGGAAGGGGACAGAATGGGTGAGGCATTTGTCACCATGCACACTGACCAGGTTACTTGGGTTATTAGGAACCAAAAGAGCAGGTGACCACAGCTTGGAGCAGGAATGGCCAGAAATCAATACTTCCCCAGTGCCAGGAGGGGAAGGGAGGGGAGGAGCTGGATGGGTGTGTCTGGGTCAGGGGTGAAAGCAGCTTTGAATCTTGGGAGATGGGGGCTCCCTATGGGCTAAGGAAATTTTGGATGGGGGTTGACTTGCTTTCCTTGAGTTTCTTGGTGAGTGTAGAGGAGGGTGACCCACTACTGGGGTGGGAACTGAAAAACAGGCTCATTTTAGCCTCCTAGACACTTTTTGGAGCTCAGGATCACCCTCTACCCTCTTCCCTAAGACCCCAGATGCTACAGATTGCTGGTTAGGGCAGGTAGGGAGGTTAGTGATGGGAGGGTATGGTGTTCTCTAAAAGGGAGAGGCAGTACCTGCAGCATTCCCAGGAGGGGCTTTCAGCTGACCTGGAACCAGAACAACTTGACATCACCCACCTGGAGGCATCTTTGTGCCCACTAAGGCCAGCCCTGCAGGTTGGTCCTCACACTCGGGCTCGGGGACCACTTTGCAAAATGTTTCTACTCTCTGGACTTCTGGAAGACAAGAAGCTACTCTAAGTAGCAGCCCCTGGGAGGACAGTCACCTAGTTAACCCTCCCTAGCCACCCAGACACTCTTTCCCTATCCTTCTGAGCCCAGCGTGGGAGCACTGTTTACCCTGGCTCATGCCACCTATGCCTGCCCATATTGATTTGTTGCATCTACAGGCATGGGTTAACTGTTCAAATACAAAGATGTTCCCTCAAAAAAGGCCTTGAAAATTCTATCTTATCTGTGAGTGACAAAGGATTCTGAGTTCACCAAATAAAAACACCTCAAATGGATAATAAAAATATGTCTACATTTTCTTATTGACTTTAACTTATCTCAAGGATGCATTTTTAGTGGTGACCCAAGCAGGCTGATACCCATGCAGGATGCCCACACTGTGCCCTTTGCAGAATGTGTTATGCCAAGAGGGTCTAGCTCCTGCGTGTGTTTTGGGGCCTTAGCCCAAGGAGCAAAGAGTTTCCACACTTGTCTGACTGCAGGAAGCCTCTTGCAGTCCAGCCCTAGTGGCTGGAGAGGCCACCCCCTGGGAGCCCTAGCATCAGTGTTAAGTGTCAGCTGTGGGCTGAGCTGCAGAGTCAGTGCCTGTATTGGAGATAAGTCCAGAGGCTGGAGCTCATAGAGCTCTTGAGCCATTTGGCAAGCCCCACCAGAGCAGGGGGAGCAGCATGGAATCCCTGCTGGAAAATCACCAGATTGGAGTCTTATGGGGATGGAGGCATTCGTGATAACCTCATCACGTGAATGAAAGAGCAACAGAGGAAAAGGAGACAAGGATGACTTCAGTGTTGAGAGCTAGGGGCCTGGGAGGTGGAGGTGCTGGTCTAAGGAATGAGGAGGTGCAGATGGGGACAAGGGGACCAGTGCTCATTCAGCCTGGGGCCTGTGGGCTTTGCAGTGTTTGTGGCAAGTCCGGCAAACAGGAAGTTGAGATGTGGGTCTGAACCTTAGCAGAGAGGTTGGACCAGGCAAGTAGGCAGACCCAGGTTTTTAGTTAGAGGTTGTTGGGGAAATCAAGGAAGAGAGCTAGGTAAAATCGCACAAAGGCAACAGAAGCAGATCCAGGTAAGGTGACAAGAAGGACAGACAACCTCAAATGCTCAATAATGATCAGGAAAACCTCCATAGAGAGGTTTTCCAGGCCACCCCTCCCAATGGTCTTCCCTCAGGACTAGGCTTACTGTGGGGGCGCTGCCTGAATGGCAGTCTCCCTGCCAGACCCAGTTTCCAAGGCCTGGGCCATGTGTTGAATCCCAGCGCCCACGACCAGGTCTAGCAGGGCAGGCACTTTGGGAAGTTCAGTGGCTCTCCCAGTCCTCTGCGGCCCTCCCTTCTCCCTGCCTGTCAGCACCACGGAGCACCTCGCGAAGCATCTGCTCTTTTCTGCTCACTCCAGCCCGTAGAGCCTCCAGGGCCTGCAGCTCTGTGCCCTGCGTAGGAAATGCGGGATGGTGGTGGCACCTGGGGAGAGGAGGCCGGGTCGAGGTCGGACCACATACCTGGGGCTTCAAACTCTGAAAATCCAGGCGCGCCAGAGACGAGAAAGGCGCAGTCCTGGAGGCCACAGGGGGCGACAAAATCACGAGGTGCGGCAGGAGAGCGGGGCCTTGGGGACGCAGGGAGAGCGGATGGCCGCTGGCCGGCGCATTTCTTGGCCTTTCCTGTTGGGTTTCCCATCGGGAAGGAGGACTCAGAACGCGAGCAGAGGACCGAGCGATCTAGGGCAGGGGG